ACATTACTCACTACATTACTCATTACTTTTGAGACACATCATCGTCTATTATATTTGAAAAGAATATTTGAATATATATATATATAAAAGTATATTTGAAAAGAAAGACAAACTAAGAAAAAAAATCACATCATTTAGAGGTAAAATAATAGAGTCTAATTATCATTTAAAAGCTTAGCTGTGCATGCAAGTATTGTAAAAATCATCCTTGCTGCGGTTATGAAAATGCATTTTTTTCCTATACGACTTTTCAATTTTATATGTTTAATGCTAATTATATTTTCTTGGCAGTCATAAATATAAATTACACAAATCTGTATCATATACAGCTGTGGAAGATGCTCTCTAAGACGGAAAAACTAGCCAGTGACTTTGGTAAACATTTCCAATGCAAAGCATTTTGATATTTAAAGTAACCTTCTTTTTGCTGTCTTTGGCTTGCTTTGTATTGTGTTTATGATTTCCAGCTGGGGGATTTAACTCCGCACCTTGCCAGACAAAAATGTTTGGTGGAGGAAATAATGTATCTGTCCTAATTCAATGATATCCCTTAAATTAGTTGGTATTTTATTTTTCCTCCCCATACAACCCTAACAGAGAAGGACATTAATTATGTACTCTATACTAACAGTATACATGCTTAATAAAAAGCTAGGTTAATACTAAAGAGAATCTGCCTAGTATTGTGTTTTGTTTTAAATTGTTTTGGAAGTATACACCAACAATAAAACAATTAAAATATATATATTTAAAAAAAAAAAAAGCTTGTACATTAATCATTCTACATGGGCATGTATTCTTTGTTGTTGATGCGTAATGTCCATTTGACACTAATCACATTATTGTGATTGTGTTTTGTATTGTTTTAGTAAAACTAACAATAAAATAATTATATATATATATATATATATATATATATATATATATATATATATATGTCTGTCTAGCAAATAAAGGCAAATACACATCCACAAAAAGATATTTCAATAGCAAATTACACTTTTATAAATTAGCCTTGTTATGCTCCCATGGCTGTGAAGCAGACAACAAGTCCTGTTACTTCCTGGTTTTGTTAGCTTGGTGGAGCTGAATTCAAGAGGCAGCAATTGCTCTGATCACCTGTCTTGTAAAGACTTCTCATTGAGCTGCAATAGGAAGTCTGTGATTGGACAGCCACATAAAGTGTGGGCTGGAGAAGTATGGGAGGACCTGCAAAGACTGCAGACAAGAGATATACAGATTTTGCTGTTCACTTGACCTTTAGTGAAACAAATGCATGATTACACGCCATCATGTTTTTATTGAGGGTATATCTGCTAAATAGGGATTTTTGTTCTTGTTTTTGGTGAGTAAAGTGTCCTTTCATTCTGAGAAACTTTCAGAGACAGCCCTCACAATGGCCAGATTTTAAGCCAAAATTGTGTAATTGTAATTAGCTCCAATTTTGTTTCTTAGTTCTAAAACGTGTAATTCTTTTTTCATTTCTCAACATTCTCAGTTTGGTAAACAATCTTCTAACAGGTTTAGCTCTAAATCGTATTCCTAAATCCTGATACTTTGGTTCTACTAAATATTAAATCCCATTGTAAAGGATTTCCCTGTATTCACCTGTGTTCATTTGGTTATTTCCTCTCCCTGCCATTTAAGTGATTTTGAAATATTCGTTTTATTTATGTGTTCGGGAAATTATTCGTTCTACCGAACGGAGACCACCCTGGGTAGCAATCAGAACTTAGAACGCCAAGAAACCACATGAAAACTGCAAAGTAATTGAGTGCTCCTAGGTGGCCGCCATTCGGCATACGAACACGTGGCGAGAACAAAGGATGGCGGCCATCTTAAATCTCCCAAATGCGGCCAGCAGGACTTACTCGTGGAGTGCCTGAAACTTTTTTCGGCATGACACTCACACGAACACACTGTCTTTATGGAAGTCCCGCCTGACCTATTTCCACTCGCAGTACCAGACCGGCGTTCGGGAGTTCCAATCAACCGAACAAGGGGAGCATTCTCATGTAACCAGATGCAGTATAACTATGGTGGTTTTCGTGTAATTCTGCACCAACGGAGACCAGGTCTTGCTACCAATTTCATGGAACTCTAAATTGGATACAACCGCATGGCGAGCCGGTCAAACTTCCACACGATGCAACATGGAAACTACCTAACGGATTTTCGTGCAATTTGGATATAGTATCCCCCGCTACCCAGAGTTTTTATATTCATATGTCATGTAGAAAGTATATTTCCAAAAATGTTGAAAATTGTTAATGTTTCTGGCAAGCAGATAATTGAGTTTAGTATGTTGCTGAAACTCAATTATGTAGCCTGGCCCAGAGGAGGAGCTTGTACTGTATAAATTGAATGCCTGTTGCTTTCAGTAAATCAGTCTTGTTCCAGCATTAAGCTTTGGCTCGTGTGGATTATTTGGCGATACCAGCAATATTTATTCCTGTGGATTTTAGGCGATACTCTCCTATTGGGAAAAGGAATACTAGATGGTGATACCAGTTACTACCTTCACAACTGGTTGGCAGCGGTGGGATCTTCCTTTTTCTTGCACCAAGCAATCCAAGCAGACACTGGGGACAGTGAATGGAAGGCTGGTACACACTGCTTAAACGAAACACGTTAAAGGAACTGTTGGAGGTTCGTGGAAGGATTGCCAGCAACAAAACCAAGCGGGTCATCATTGCTGAATTAATGGAGCTAGACCGGGAGAACTTGGTTGCAGCAACACCGGCCGTTCGGAGATGGAGACACCGGTGGTTCGGGAAAATTAATCGCAGACCAACAGGGAGATTCAGGAGAGATTGGCATGGTTCGGTCCGAACCCAACGGCTGACATTTTTCTGCAGGTAATGAACATTGTAGCAGATTAGGTGAAACAAAAGAGAGAAATAGAGCTGCAGATGAGGCTGGCTGAAACCCAGCGTGCAGCAGCAAGTTCCCTGAGCGGAAAGAACAGCACAGTAGATACAAGGAAGATTCCTTTCAGTGCCTTTAAAGCCTTTAATGAGAATGACTGTGAGATTGATAGCTATCTAGCGGATTTTGAGCGACAGTGTAACCTTCACAGAGTGGCTGCACACGAGTGGATTTCAATATTGGCTGGGAAACTGTCAGGCAAAGCCGCCGATGCCTTCCGGGCAGTACCAGAGCAGGAGATTCACAGCTATGCAAGGGTTAAAGAAGCACTCCTGGCTCGGTACGCAGTGACCCCGGAGAAATACCGCCAAAAGTTCAGAGACTCACGCAAAAGGGACAAAGATTCCTATGCAGAATGGGCCTGCCAGCTACAGCTGTCCGATTCCAATTGGGTTAACAGCAGCCAGGCCACTACCGCAGATGACATCTTACAGCTAATACTCCTAGAGCAATTCTACGACCACATCTAGACACATGTCAAAGACTGGGTAAGAGACCGCAGACCCCTCTCCTTACCGGAGGCCGCCAAGCTCGCAGATAAGTACGCTGATACTCGTGTGAGAGCACACGTCATCCCATGGGTCCAACCACCTCGACCTGTAGTACCATCACCACCAACAGCAACCAGGTATCAGCCCCCTAGCCGACCGGAAGCTTCCAACCAACGCTACCCACGTCAGGCTGGCAATGAGCCCCGCTGCTTCCGATGTAACCAACTGCGACATCTACGCAACAATTGCCTGTTGGAAACCCCCAGGTCCAATTGGACTAGCCCAGAATTCCCTCAACCCCCGGGCCGCAGCCCATTGTGTGGACTACCCGGTACCCTCTGCCTGGGACGCCAAGGAGCTGAGTCGGGAGGAACCCTTGGGCACACTATATGAAGCTCTCCTAGTCCAATCTACCATAACTGACGATCGGAAACATCATTGTCAGTTGGTGATGGTCAACGGGAAGACTGCCCGGGGCCTAAGGGACAGTGGTGCTACAATCACCCTAGTTCAACGGCATCTTATTGATAACTCTGAAAGACCAGGGAAATCTATAGCTGTGAGAGTGGCAGGGGGGGTGGTGTATCGGATTCCTACCGCACAAGTGCATCTAGACTGGGGCGTCGGAGCTGGCAATGTCCAGGTGGGTGTGATGAAGGAATTACTGTCAGAAGTAGTGTTATTATTATTAGAAAAATAATTCTTTATTATTAAAGAAGAATTGTTGACTACAGTCAACAAAAGAAGTTAAGTGTTGATAGGTTTTGGCCTCATATTCATGATGTTTGTTTCTCCGCATTCAAATCTATGCAGCTTTGCTAGGTAGGCATGTCTCCACTTTTCACAAAGCAACTTTGTGATTAGATATACCCTGAGTACATACTCAGCTCAGCCAGTGAAAGATTAGTGTGAGCAGAATTACTGATATGATTTCACTCGACAGCCAATCGTTGTCCTTTTATTGTCTGCCCCCTTTCCTCTTAAGGAAAGAGGAGAGTCATTGGCTGTTGGACATCAAGTTATATCAGCAACTCAGCCTATTAACCTTCCAATCATGAAGAAGTTTTATGAAGAGGAGAGGTATGGCCTATGTCCTCTATTGGGAGGGAGACTGAAGGGGCCGGTATTAGATCCAGAAAGCTTAAGGCAACTTGGACAAGGGGATAAGCCAACCCAAGAAGACCCCCTAAACCATGGGTCGTCAACCTGGTCCCTACCGCCCACTAGTGGGCGTTTTAGGATTCCAGGTGGGCGGTAGGGATTTCTGAGGCTAAATCCTCTTTTTAAGAGGATTTCTCCTTTTGGGCGGGCGCGAGCGGCTCTGCATGCGCAAGTCTTCAGTGACCGGCAGGAGGAAGCGCTCCCTCCTGCCAGGCCACCTTCTGGACCCCCCGGCATGGCAGAGTTCTAATCAGTCGCGGCGAGGGAGCTCTAACCTCTCTGCTCTGCTCCCTCGCGCGATGTTTGCTGATGCCGCGGGAGCCGGAATATGATGTCATATTCCGGCTCCCGGCATCCGTAGACAGTCCGCGAGGGAGCAGAGCAGAGAGGTTAGAGCTCCCTCGCTGCGTCTGATTAGCCGCCCGCCTAAGTGAAGCCCCACTGGACCCCAGGGACAGATCCACACCAGCTCTCCAGGTAGGGAGGCTGGGTGGATATTTAATATTAATAATTTGTGTGTATATGTGTTTGTCTCTAAGTGTATGTGTGTGTGTGTCTGTAAGTGTATGTGTGTGTGTGTGTGTGTGTCTGTGTCTGTAAGTGTATGTGTGTGTGTCTGTAAGTGTATGTGTGTGTGTCAGTAAGTGTGTGTGTGTCTGTGGGTCTGTCTGTGTATGTGTGAGTGTCTGTAAGTGCATGTGTGAGTATGTGTATATTTGTGTGTATGTGTTTCAATGTGAGTGTGTGTGTGTGTATGTGTTTGTCTGTGAGCAGAGTACTTGTAGAATAGAAGAAAGAAGGTGCAGAGTACTTGTAGAATAGAAGAAAGAAGGTGCAGAGTACTTGTAGAATAGGAGAAAGAAGGAGTAGAGTACTTCTAGTATAGGGGAAAGAAGGAGTAGAGTACTTCTAGTATAGGGGAAAGAAGGAGTAGAGTACTTCTAGTATAGAGGAAAGAAGGAGTAGAGTACTTGTAAAAAAGGAGAAGGAAAGAAAAGGAAAAGGAGAGAATTGTTGTTGACTAATAATAGTAAGTGGGCTACCTAGCTCAGCCTTCCTACTGGGCATTGCTATAAGGAAGGTTAAAAAATAGAAAAAAGGGGAAAAAGGTGGGAAGGGGAATTGAGGAGGGAGAGGAGGGGAGCTGACGCACAGATGAGAAATCATTTTATGAGCAAACAAAGAAATCTTCCGATTATCACTGAAAGAGGAGACCTTCGTTTGTTCCTTATGAAAATCGAACCAGATATCAAATATTTAGTCTCGCAGCATCAACCTCAAGGATCTCATTAATCACTAGTAAAGGTAAGCTCAATTTACTTTATTGCTTCCTCATTAAACTTTATAAAGTTAAAAACATTATAAACATGCATAAAGTAGAAATAAAAAGATAAATGTACGTTCATTTATGTATTTTTTAAAACACCCTCCTTTCTAAAAAATATTCCGCGCTTGCGCGAAAACTGGTGGGCGGTAAGGAAATTTTTCCATCAAGAAAGATGCATTAGTGGGCGGTAAGTGGAAAAAGGTTGACTACCACTGCCCTAAACCATCATTACTTATTACCCTTCACCTGACAAACCACATAGTGGATTAAGGGGTATGGGCTAGTCTCTTGCCAGGTTTTTATTACACTCTACCAAGCCACACATGAGGTGGAGATAGATGGGGCATCTATTGGGCAGACTAGATGGGTCGAATGGTTCTTATCTGCTGTCACACTCTATATTTCTATGTTTCTATCTTTACCCTTTACTGAATGAGAAATTTAGCAATTTTCTAGGCATTCTCCAGTTTAGGGGAACGTCTCTATATATATATGCCTATGCACGTGTTTCCCTTAAGCTAACCAGTGTGTTTTGTTGTTCTCAACTGTAGCACCAAATGCTTAATTTACTATTATTTAGTGAGTTCGTGCCTGACTAGTGAGTGATTTAGGCACTTATAGCCATGACTACCAGAGTCTAATTAGTTTTTTAATTGTTTGTAATTGCCTATCTTTTGATGTTGCTTCTTGCAAGTACTAATTAGCAGAAAATGCAGTTACTGCATGATGTCATTTTTTTTCTATGCAATCTGACATTTCAGGCACTTAACCCCTTAAGGACGGCGGGTGTACTATGCCGTCCTTGGGGACCTGGCTCTAAACGCCGGCGGGCGGCATAGTATGTCCCCGCTGTCCAGAGGATTTACCTGCTCGCTGGCGATCCCCCGCCAGCAAACGCGATGGGGGGACTTGCCTGGCATACCAGGCTGTCCCCCTGCTACCGAGTCAGCTCTCCTAGGCCATGTGATCACAAGGTCCTTGTGAGGACCTCACCATCACATGGACGCAATAGCCGTCCATAGAAGTGCCAGCAGGGGGAGTGCCTGGAATGACAGGTAGTCCCCCTGCTGCCTAAAATAAAGTAAAATAAAGTTTTAAAACAGTTTAACATTAAATAATATATATTATAATTTGATCCTGATGAGAGTCCCTATGAGGACTGAAACGTCGATCTACATGTTGACATAAAGGAACCTTTAATATGGAAGACCGTGAGTGCAGACCATTTGTTTTACTACTATATATATATATATATATATATATATATATATAATCTAAGTATATAAATATATATATATATATATATATACACTTACACATGGGAGTGGGTGGGAGTTATAGGAAAGGGGGGGATTTACTGTTAGTGCTGCTTACTGCTAGTTAGGGGTTAACGGTAAAAGAAAAGTTTAGAAAAAAATTTAAAAGTGTAAAAAAAGTTAAGAAAGTGTAAAATATTTAATAAGTAAAAAAAAGTTTAAAAATGGGTTTTACAAAGTAAAAAAAGTTTTACAAAGTAAAAAAAGACATTAAAAAATGCTCATTACCACTACACTTGGTACAAGCTAGTGGAAAAATGATCCCATGCTAAGGTTCAAAATAGGCCTTTTGAATTGCCCTTCTTTAAGAAATGGTATGCCTTTAAGGGGTAATTGGATTATATAGCCTTGTAAAATACTCTAAAATAGGACATGGACACAGCGTAAAAATTAAAAGTTTGAAAAAAACTGGAATGGCTGTGTCTCAAATGTGCCCCTTCAATATCCACATATACCTGGCAAAGGTACATACGAGGGTATTGCTGTACTCAGCCAACATAGCTGAGCAACATATGAAGTATTATACAGTCGTAGCACACATACGATTTGCAAAATATACTGTGCAAACCAGGGGTCAAGTCCTGGGGAGAAAAGTGTGGGAACTCACCCAAGATTCCCGCCTCCCCCCCTCCACCCCCCTTAAGAAAATTACACTCCTATGCATAAAGTGCAGTGCAGGGTGTGTATAATGAATGTAGTGTGTTTGTAGTGAATGCAGAGTATGAATAATAAATGTAGTGTGTTTGTAGTGAGTGCAGTGTGAATAATAATTGTAGTGTATTTGTAGTGAGTGCAGATTGTGTATAATGAATGCAGTGTGTTTTTAGTGAGTGCAGAGTGTGCATAATGAATGTAGTGTATTTGTAGTGAGTGCAGTGTGTATAATAAATGTAGTGTGTATAGTGAATGCAGTGTGTATAGTGAATGTAGTGTTTTTGTAGTGAGTGCAGAGTGTGTATAATGAATGCAGAGTGTGTATAGTGAATGTAGTGTGTGTATAGTGAGTGCAGAGTGTGTATAATGAATGCAGTGTGTTTTTAGTGAGTGCAGAGTGTGCATAATGAATGTAGTGTATTTGTAGTGAGTGCAGTGTGTATAATAAATGTAGTGTATTTGTAGTGCGTGCAGTGTGTATAATAAATGTAGTGTATTTGTAGTGAGTGCAGTGTGTATAGTGAATGTAGTGTTTTTGTAGTGAGTGCAGAGTGTGTATAATGAATGCAGAGTGTGTATAGTGAATGTAGTGTGTTTGTAGTAAGTGCAAATTGTGTATAATAAATTTAGTGTGTTTGTAGTGAGTGCAGAGTGTGTACAATGAATGCAGTGTATGTAGTGTGTTTGTAGTGAATGCAGAGTGTGTATAGTGAATGTAGTGTGTAGTGAGTGCAGAATGTGTATAATGAATGCAGAGTGTGTATAGTGAATGCAGAGGGTGTATAGTGAATGTAGTGTGTTTGTAGTGAGTGTATAGTGAATGTAGTGTGTTTGTAGTGAGTGTATAGTGAATGTAGTGAGTGAAGAATGTGTATAATGAATGCAGTGTGTGCGTGTGCTGGATGATGTGTGTGTGCGTGTGCTGGATGACGTGTGTGTGAGTGCTGGATGACGTGTGTGTGTGTGCTGGATGATGTGTGTGTGTGTGCTGGAGGATGTGTGTGTGTGAGTGCTGGATGATGTGTGTGAGAGTGCTGGATGATGTGTGTGAGAGTGCTGGATGATGTGTGTGAGAGTGCTGGATGATGTGTGTGTGTGTGCTGGATGCTGTGTGTGTGAGTGCTGGATGATGTGTGTGCTAGATGATGTGTGTGTGTGTGTGTGTGCTGGATAGATTGTGTGAGTGCTGGATGATGTGTGTGAGTGCTGGATGATGGGTGTGTGAGTGCTGGATGATGGGTGTGCTAGATGATGTGTGTGTGTGTGCTGGATGATGGGTGTGTGAGTGCTGGATGATGGGTTTGTGAGTTCTGGATGATGGGTTTGTGAGTTCTGGATGATGGGTGTGCTGGATGATGTGTGTGTGAGTGCTGGATGATGTGTGAGTGTTGGATGATGTGTGTGTGCTGGATGATGGGTGTGTGAGTGCTGGATGATTGTGTGTGTGTGCTGGATGATGGGTGTGTGAGTGCTGGATGATGGGTGTGTGAGTGCTGGATGATGGGTGTGTGTGTGCTGGATGGTGTGTGTGAGTGCTGGATGATGTGTGTGTGAGTGAGTGCTGGATGGTGTGTGAGTGAGTGCTGGAGGGTGTGTGAGTGAGTGCTGGATGATGGGTGTGTGAGTGCTGGATGATGGGTGTGTGCTGGATGATGGGTGTGTGGTGCTGGATGATGGGTGTGTGAGTGCTGGATGATGTGTGTGTGTGTGTGTGCTGGATGATGGGTGTGTGTGTGCTGGATGTTGGGTGTGTGTGTGCTGGATGATGTGCTGGATGATGGGTGTGTGTGTGCTGGATGATGGGTGTGTGAGTGCTGGATGATGGGTGTGTGAGTGCTGGATGATGGGTGTGTGTGTGCTGGATGATGGGTGTGTGAGTGCTGGATGATGGGTGTGTGTGTGCTGGATGATGGGTGTGTGAGTGTGGATGTGGGTGTGTGTGTGCTGGATGATGGGTGTGTGAGTGCTGGATGATGGGTGTGTGAGTGCTGGATGTGGGTGTGTGAGTGCTGGATGATGGGTGTGTGAGTGCTGGATGATGGGTGTGTGAGTGCTGGATGATGGGTGTGTGTGTGCTGGATGATGGGTGTGTGTGTGAGTGCTGGATGATGGGTGTGTGAGTGTGCTGGATGATGGGTGTGAGTGCTGGATGATGGGTGTGTGTGTGCTGGATGATGGGTGTGTGAGTGCTGGATGATGTGGGGGGGGAGCATTTTTCTTACTTTATGTATATTTATTTTATTTTATCCCCCCCTCCCTGCTTCTTACCTTGTCAGGGAGGGGGGAGATCGCCTGGTGGTCCGGTGGTATGCTGGAGGGAGCCAGCCGCTGCACAGAGGGGCCATGACACGCAGTGTTCCCTCTCCAGCTCTAACTCTCGCGAGACTCGCCTGTGCGGAGCGTTGCCATGGTAACAGCCGCGGGTCTCGCGAGAGTTATAGCTGGAGAGGGAACACAGCATGTGACGGCCCCTCAGTGCAGGTAGCAGGGCCGGTCCTGCAGGACAGGTAACGGGAACGGCGTTCCTGCTTTGGAAAAAGTGCGGGAACGCCGTTCCCATGCGTTCCTGCAGGACTCGAGCCCTGGTGCAAACTCACTTTGTATGTCAAAAAGGCAA